CCCCAAAACCCCAAAACCCCAAAACCCCGTTGAGAGGTGGGAGAGTTGAAATAGAGGGTAGAGGAAAATAATTTAATTTTATTATTAAATATGAAAGAAATACAAGAGTTAATTTTTGATGAAAATTTAACTGAAAGTTTACTTGATGAAGGAGTTGTGCCAAATAAGGTACCGACCTTGGAGAAGATGATCCTAGGCACTAATCTAAAGATACTAAGTTGTCAAAGGAAAGAAGATTATCAAAACTTTACGTTTTCTATGGATGAATTAGCTCAAAACCTTTCCCAGAATGATCCTACAAGAATTGTAAAGGTTCCAGTTATCTCCAAAACACAGAGAGAAAGGAATTGGACTAATTACAAATAGAAGCAATAGAATATCTTGCTCTGAGACTAATAAAACAAGGGCTTCGTTGAAAGAAGATATTCGGAGCCTATTGAAAGTTGCTGCCAAACTGAGGCTGGAAGATCTAGAAAATAATCAACAGAAGCTCAAAGAAATTAGTCAGGCTAAATTGGCAAAGAAGTCTGACGATTCCAAATATGTAACAATGGACGATGTTGAGCCCTTTAAAAAATCAGAATAATTATTAATTTTTCATTTTAAGTACCGATTTCACTAATAATATATCTTGGTTTTAATGGGAAAAGTTTAGAATTCATTGCCAAAGCAGTATGAAATAGTTCATATCTTTTAATAATCAGATAGACAACTTCAATTAACTTTCAAAATTGTTAGAAGAAATATTAAATTAACCTCCTGTGAATTATGCCTACCAGTTTTCTCGAGGAAAATTTTGGGAAATGTAAATATCGAAAAATCGAGATTCTTAATGAAGCTTGAGTTAAGAATGATTATATGTTTCTTTAGTGCCAGTCTTAAGTTTGCAAGGTACATTAGCTAAATGCTGGTACCTACTATTAATTCAGGAAATTAAAAAAGATTAATATAATGGTCTTTTTCTTTGACCCGCTTTTGAAATAGGAATCAAAAGAATGACTATTAATCTAGGAATGCTTAAGGAGACAAAATTGGCAAAATAGTATTTGAATTTATAAAAATTGCTGAAAATAAATCTAATGCTTCCTCACCGAAAGTCAAATTACTCTGCTTATTATTTTGATTCATTGATCGTAATATTACTCTCTATATATCCTGACTACTTGTAGAGGCAAAAAGTCTAGATAATTTGTATTAAAATAATGAATCTCAGAAATAATAGGATGATGACTAAGAAGGTACTTCCTTCAGTAAGAAATGTCTTCCTCCTCACTGAAACTGAGGTTTGATTATAAATCATTGACAGCTCGTGAATCCTTTTAAGTTTTATATTTTACTATGTTCCAAATGGTTCAGCCAAGGGGAAACGTCTAGGGGTTTTGGGGTTTTGGGGTTTTGGGGTTTTGGGG